CTATTATATTCACAAAAAGATGTAATATTTGGAGAAAAAATACATTTCTTTATTTTTCAGACGATGATAAAATAAGCTATGGATTATTTTAGGAGCTTGAATTAACTATTTGTAAAAATAAATACAACTAAACCATAAAGGATTTTGCTTTTGTCCACTTGCGAGTAAAACAAAGGAAGATCCTCTAGTATATTATGGTGCACAAAATTTGCAAATCCCTTCTTCCCGCCTTGGTAACTTAAACTGTAAGCTCAGTGAAAAAGAAGGCTTAACCTTCAAAGGGAGCTCCCCTCACATTATTCCATTCTCTTTAGTCGTAAATAGTTGTTTTGACTTAATGTGGGCTAATTTAGCGATCCCAAATGAATTTGAATCACAAGTTTCTAAGCTGCTAAAGCGTTCTCGGGCCTAGTGATAGCGAACTCCCATGTTCTGAGTGTAAACTAGTTTTCGTGTCCAAATAGACCCAGGTGAATTCAAAACTGCAGTCAATTCAGGATGAGATGCCACTTTTGAGACCATAATAAGGACAAAATAATTGAGTGAGTGGAAGGCTGACTAAAATAATTATGCACTATCAGTGTCTAAATCAGCAATCAAAAATGATGTTCATTCATTAACTCTCAGTGCAAATATAGCCTAACCAGAGCAGCAAGACCATTTGGACAGGGCCTTATCACAGGGATGATATGGCTACTATGAGATATGAAACTTAGTCAGTGTTCTTTATCCTATTTTGTCATTCCCGTCTCCTTCTCTCCCCGACGCATTCATGTTAAGCCATCGTGTTCCTAAAGGGCTATTTTTTGCCTCTAAATTGCCCAGTGCCTAAATCAAACAAATGCATCCGCTAATCTTCTTCAATTCAAAACATGTAATTCGGCCAAGAAATTTGGGCAGAATACATTTTAAGTTAACTACATGTAGTCAAATTGGTGGTTGTTAGAAGCAGCATAAATATGGAGGTAAATCTTGTCCACTAAAAGTGTCAACTACACCAAGCCATTTAGGGAAAGCAAGTTTATTCGCAAATATTAAAATAATGTATCATGGAAAAGATAAAATGAGCCCTAATTGAGTAGGGAAATGAAATACTTTTGATGAAGAAGTATTCAATGACATGGGCAGGTATCATTTTTGCAATTTGGCCTTACTCTACTTACATACGAAAAATTAAGCCTTAGTTACTAGTATAAATCAGGGAAGATGCTAAGGACTGCTATTGCATTTATTTGTTCTTTGGGAGTTAAATAATCAATGGATGCAACCGCAAATATTCAATCGGCAATGAAGTAAGCATTGTCAATCATGCTATGCATAAAATGGAATAAAACCTAACTGGTAAAGCTTCCATACCTAGGATGATGACCAAAACGTCGGCATACATCCAGCCTTTCAAAGTAAAATAGAATGGATCACTTTTACAATAAACACAATGTCGAATAAAATCTAAGCAGCAGTAATTTTATGTGTCTTTTTAAAGTTATTCTCGACTGGAAAACTCCTCTACATACGTGATTGGTCCCTAATGTTCGCAAGAACTGTGGAAACAGCTTAGGTGATAAGATAAACTAATACACTCAAAAGGGGCTTAGTAACCAAGACTACCAGCTTGCAATTTCTCGCCCGACTCTGCAAGAAATTTTTGCATCAAAAGTTGAGGTAATGCAAGTTATTCCAAACCGGACCAAGCTGACTTAATGCATGATTTTTAAAAAGGAGGAACTATATGGCTATTCTAGATGAGTGCATACAAGATAGTAGAACGAGAAAACTGATTGTTTCTACAAATCACTTGATGTTTATTCGAGGGTCATACTATTGTCACGCACAAAATGCTTAATCAGTCGAAGAAAACTGATACAAATAAATGCGATAGATCTGGTAAAAGATGGTAATACTAGCAAATTAAGTCTTTCAAAAAGAATACTTCACCAGTAAGAAGAAAAAGATACCAACCCTGGAAGGTCTATATTTTTATAATCCGAAGTGCATATCATTATGTTGTTGGATCAGTGAAGTTGCCCTTTTTACTAGTATATCTATGCTTCACCTTGCATAATAAATGTTGGATGAGTATATGAAGGAAGTTTCGTTGTATTTATATTACTAGATAAAAAAGAAATACAATTATGTATTTTGGCATTAAGGACGGGCAGTATCTGCAACAATACCTGCGCATCGCTGATCTGACCGTGTAAATTTTCGCTTTTGAGGCAGTTCGACTCATAAACTAATAATGAGAAAAGATTTTTCAAGTTTTTTTTTACAAAAAGCTTAGTAATTTCTTTCTTATCTTGTATGAGGAGAGAATAGACTTATTAGGTAGATTTTTAAAGGATGTCCTTGGGCTGCTACATGTGCATCTGAATGCAACATTGTCCTTTGCATTGTATTTTTTGCCGAATATGGTAAATCCATACTGAATTTTTTGCCTAGGTACGACGGGAATTCCGGCATGACTCTCAATTTCGAAAGGAAAGTTGGTTGGAAGGAATTAGTGATGTGGTCTCACCGAAAACCGAAGGAGGATTGTTGCGTAAGGAAGACCGTTGAATTGTGCAAAAATTCCTTAGATCATCGTCCAACCAAATTTCCCTTCGAAATGGAGAGTCGTGCCACAATATTTCATTGAGAAATTCGTCGGAACCCAATTTTTATTCATATTTTGAAAAGAGAATTCATTCCGAAAGTCTTTCCGCTTCAAATAAAAGTTGAAATAACAGTCAAAAAACAAGATCCTCATTGGCCTAGGGCTGGGTTAGATAGAATTAAAGAAATCAGGAGACCACTTCTAGGCAGAAAGACATCATAACGGATCCATTGGGACTGAAAAAAGGCGCCACAATGACTCAAAAGGAAAAGCAAATCAGGAATATAATTTCAAACTAAAATCAAACATTGATATTCTTTTAGTGAAACTGGTTCGCAAAGTAAAGTCTGAAATGTCATCATACAGAAAGAAAACTTTACCAATAAGCTGTTGCCAACAGTTGTCAAGCTCTCGCCACTGCAAACTCAAGTGCAAAAAGTCCGCTTGTGCCTTCTTGCCTTTCGTTTGGCATTAGCGACCGAGAAGATGTCATTAGGCTTATCCCCTTATATGGTTGGTTAAATTATAGTTTTTCTGATTTTACATTTGGCCTGATCTAGTATTTTATGAAGAACTCAAAGAATGCATCTTGTCATGCCTCCTCTGTCATTGTTGCTGTCTCCTTTCATCATCATATCAGTGACCTGATGCATTCGCAACTCTAATTAGGCAGCATAGTCAGCATCTTAATTGAGGAATGCCAACCTTAGCACCAAAATACAATTCGTCAGTAGCAATTATAGATTACCCTCTGCATATCAACGACTATGTCATATCTTCTCATCCATGTTCTAGCGCATACAATTATATTCTCATTAATCACTACTATTTCATATTTTAAACTTTCCTCCATACCCACCAGCATAAGTTTATTTGTTCCAATATATGCCGGTACAGTGCCAAAAGAACACAAGGAGGCAGTGACAAAGAGTGGAGTACAAGGAAGGTTCTTAAAAATCGACTGAGTTACGAAAACGAAGTCAAACCAATGGCACACAGTGAGAGAAGACTACGGCTATATTGCGGCTACACTATCATGGCCTTCATATCTACGATCTTTTGTGATATTTAATGTGCCACTGCTCGACATATCTTCCAGAGCTGTGAGGATTTCGTGTAAAGACGTATTGGCACTTGAATGAATTGGACAGACTAAAGTGTTATTAATTAGCTCGGAGGCCTCAAAGCAACGCAACTACTCGCTCTGACGGACGATTGCTAGGCACGAAGTAAAGGAAGAAATTCTTAAAAATTGCTAGGTCCAAAACTACATATCAGGCAAATAAAATCAACTTTAATATCCAAACAAGATAGACTACGTATTAATGCCGCTTATTGGGCTACAAAATATGTGGGGCAAGAATACAAGTACATTCTATGGAATGTTCAGCGGAGCTCTGGCAGAAGGAATATATTTCTATTGCATTTGATGTTACTTATTAAAAACGACCGGATTAAGATAATAACCAAACCTCCCAGAATGCAACCAGTCACCTATTAGGTGATGTCGGAAGATATATAAATCACTGGAGAAAGTTAGTATGAGATATGTTCTTTGAAATGCCCCTGTATAAATGATCCACATTGTGAGGAAGAAGTCTCACAGTGTGGAATGTCTTAACAAAATACTAAAAAACGTATTCCAACATATATTATTGTAATATAAGCGTTAAGAAAAGCGATAAAAAGTAGGGTTTGAGAAATCCAATACGGTTACTCACTAGAATTTTCCCAAGCTTAAATATAATTTTTTTAATTTTCGTTTTATTAGTAGGTTTTTGGAGATTACAAGTAGATCTG